TATACATGCTAATGTTCCTATTATAGAATTTCATTGAACCTATGTTTGACCTCTACACTGTCTAAATTTAGTTAACTTTTCTTGACTTTTAGATGTGCAATTTAAATATTTCAAGAGCAAATAATTCAGGAATCAAGAAAATAATTTTAAATTATAGCTGTCATTTTCAGTAACTGTTTCATTGTGTGAATAATGTATTATCTGGTTTCTTAAGGAGAACAGAATTGTCAGGCGAGTGACAGCTTTAAATCTACATCACGTATATTCTTTCTCTCAACTTTTAAGAAGGTTTTAGATAGAACACTTAACTATACACTACAAGTAACTGTTTAAACCTACCTCTTTACAGTCTTTGGAACAAACAACAACATTGTTTTGAGCTTTATAAAATGTTTGTCTACATTTTTATTATATTTCACTTGTACAACAATATAAACTTAAATATAACTTTATGATTTAATTAATGAAGGTGTAACTTTATACTTTAAATTTATATTACAAAACCTGTCATAAACCTCATCACAATTCAAAAATATGAGATTACATCCTATTCTACCTATTTGACATAGTGAGATCTTTTTTTTACTCATACACCATTCCTTACTAATAACTAAGACTCTTATTTTCAACCTGCCTTGACAATCTTCTGTATTAATAATATACAATACTTTGCATTCATATGACTGCATGTGGTATTTTTCAAAGAGCACTCACCTACTATGAGCCCCTGAAAGGTCAAAACTGCTCTACTCTGTTCTTTTTTTTTTTTAATATATTTTATAGATTTTTTACAGAGAGGAAAGGAGAGGGATAGAGAGGTAGAAACATCAATGAGAGAGAAACATCGATCAGCTGCCTGCTGCACACCTCCTACTGGGATGTGCCTGCACACAAGGTACCAGCCCTTGACCGGAATCGAACCTGGGACCCTTCAGTCTGCAGACCGACGCTCTATCCACTGAGCCACACCGGCCAGGGCTACTCTGTTCTTTTTTTTTTTTAATATATTTTATAGATTTTTTACAGAGAGGAAGGGAGAGGGATAGAGAGTTAGAAACATCAATGAGAGAGAAACATCGATCAGCTGCCTCCTGCACACCTCCTACTGGGATGTGCCTGCACACAAGGTACCAGCCCTTGACCGGAATCGAACCTGGGACCCTTCAGTCTGCAGACCGACGCTCTATCCACTGAGCCAAACCGGCCAGGGCTACTCTGTTCTTTTTATTTATTTTTTTAAAATCATTATTGTTGGAAGTATTGCATATGTCCCCTCTTTTCTCCCATTGACCACTTATAGTCCACCCCTGTCTACTCTGTTCTTTATCCTTAGTGTCTCACACAGCAACTAGGACACAGTTCAAACTCAATTCATATTTGAGCAAGTGAATGGAGGACAAAGAAATAACAGGACAATTGTCTGGTCCAAAAATCAACCCAAATAAAACTTATGATTAATATCTCCAATAGGAGGGCCTATGATGAATGAATGAAAACGAAATAATAGAAAATAAAATGGAGTGAGCTTACATTAAACTAGATATCATGAAAAACCTGAAAGTTAGGGCTTCAGGAAGTTGGCTGATTACAGATTACTACATCCATTACTACACAAATGGATGTAGTAATCTGTGGAGGAGGCTGTGCCTCTCAGTGAAGGACATAGCTGGGAATGGGTGCGGTGGGGAGGCAGAATAGTAGCTAACTCCTTTTTGTGGCAAACCTCTGAGGGTCTCTCCCAGAAATATCTCCTCCATGCTTTCTAAAATCCCACCAGTTAAAATATTTTGTTTTAGTTAGCTATGCATGGTCCCTTTCAACTCAAACTGACTAGCAATTAGTGTCAACGAATGTTAACTTCTTCCCATTCCTATAATAGTATTGTTTAAGAGAAAGCTGGCTAATCTAAATATATCTATGACATTTAAAGTTCAGGTTCCTAATGCCAAGTCCCGCAGACTTCCTTTCATATCATGACTTCAGACTTGTCCTCATACTGACTTAGACTAGGGTCAGGTAATGTGAGTGAGTGTTAGTAGTGTCATTGATAGGTAATGTAAATGAGTGATGACTAAGATATAAGACAACAGGGAATGGTGGAATCTGTGTGAAAAAGGGAGTGTGCACCCTGTCTGAGTGGGGAGCAATGAAGAAATGTGGACTCTGTTTTGCCAACTTCTTCCAATTTTTCAAGAGACGCTGGGAATCCATATTTTAATATAAAATGTACCAAATTTTAAGCATGTCTGTGGCTGAAAGTGGCTTTTGGGCTGCCAGTTCATGGCCCCTGATCTAAATAAACAGGAAATGGAGACAAATGAGAAGCCTATTTTTGTTTGTTTTGTTACTTTTTAGGAGAAGCCTATTTGGACCAGAAAGAGGGAGGCAGAGTCAAAGAGGAGAAAAGGACAGACAAGAGGCACAGAAAAGAAGGTGGAAATCAAATTTCACCAACCTCAAAACCTGACTTAGGGAGCCCCTATCTACCTGTCTTTTAATCTGAGAGCAAAAAGGAAATGTTGACAAGAAGGAAAAAAAGGGAAGAGAAGGGAAGAGGAAAAGAACTAGCTATTGAACACTTACTAGATGGAAGATACAGCATCCGATGCTTTTACATATGGCAAAGCAAGAAAAAAAAATCATACTCATAAGGAAAAGAGGGAAATATAACAAAATCATAACAGTTGGTGTGTCAGATTTTGATACCCTCTTTTCCATTCTTCATAACTTTTAATCATAACTATAGTATGGTTTTATTATAACTTCATAATAAAAAACAAATTTTACTAAAACTTAAATTAATTGGATTTCTGGGTAAAGATCCACCCATCCTAAAGTGTAAAAAGTATACTACCATAAGTCAAGCCGAATTATGCCATATTTAAGTAGAAAAAGAAAATACAGCAATTCCAAGTATATGTTATATGTAATTTCCAATTATAAAACCAGAAGAAAGAGAACATGAAACTATACAGGCGATGTAGATCACAGATTGATTAAATAAGAACAGAAATATGTGAAATTGTTAAGCATGTTGTAGATCATTTTCCCTCAAATTACAGACTACCATGATGTTCTTGTGTGTGTGTGTGTGTGTGTGTGTGTGTGTGTGTGTGTGTGGCCTACATACTATAAAATGTACTGAGTCCTCTCCTCTGTAAAAACTTTCAGACATCGCCCATCTGTTACATACTTTTCTACATTTACTGCATTGTTTTCTTTCATTTAGGCATGTATTTTTTTCTTTCTTTTTTTTTATTGATTTCAAAGAGGAAGGGAGAGAGAGAAAGTCTCCTACATGCCCCCTACTATGGATTGAGCCCACAAGCTAAGCATGTGCCCTGACAGAGAATTGAACTGGGGACCTCTTGGTCCATGGATGGCATTCAATCCATTGAGCCACACCGGCCAGGCTAGATATGTATTTTTATTTAAACAATACTTTTATTTGTCTTTAGGGTGTTTCAAAGATAACAATACATTTTATTTTTCTAAATGAAGTATGTCATCCCCAGCCACTTGGGTTCTAAGGAATAAATCCCCAATTAATCTCTCCCAAATATATATATAGTTTTCATTTTATTCATGAATGAAACCCTAACCGAAATACTTAGAGTGTAATTTCAAGGGGAAATTACTGTTCAAGAACCTAGATAATACATCCCTCTGTTAATACTAAATATAGTCATCTCAAGATGACATACATTTTCGCAATGATCAGTCTTATATATCAGATTTTCAAAAATAGCACAGATTCCATTGTAAGGTGAGTAGGAAAAATTGCTATTTCAGTTTTGAATGGATTTGAAAGTGTGAATCTTCTATTAAAGCTGAATTACAATAATACTGTACTGCAGGAAACTGTATTTAAACTAATTTTTTGTGGTTTTTGCGTAGGGCTCTTTAAGGGAGTTGTTGCAAATAAATTATAGAATTGTACACATTTTTCTTTCAATTATTCCAGTCAAAATATAAAATATCTTCAAAAAATAGGGGCCTAATACCTGTGAGGAAGAATCTCAACTAACTACATTGAATAATCAAAGTTCACTTATATTAAATATATTTCCAAAAAAACCTGTCCCTAAATTTGATTTATTATGCATTTTCCACCTTATCATACCTCAAATCTCAAAAGAACTTCAGAGGCTTATGTGTATTCTGAGGTTTTTTAATATGGAAGCAATTTAACCTGTAGGAGGATTAGGGGGAAAAATAAATGTGGCTCACTCAATGTTGCGTGACTAAGATGGTGTAAATACTTAAGCTTATTTAAACATACTATCCAACACATAGTTATGTTGTGACTCGAAAGCCAATGGGTCGGTTACATGAATTCATTAACAAAATTTAGCTGATGAATGATGCTCCCATTGCTTTCCTCAGGGAACGAATTTCTTTCTTATAACGCTTACTTCTTTTCTTTACCTGCCTCTTTCCCAAGGACAGACATTTTGTTAGGACATGGCCTTATGCTATTTTTACCTTGTTCTTGTTTCTCTCTCCCTCTCTCTCTCCCTCCCTCTCTCTCTCTCTCCCTCTCCCCCCTTCACACCCCCAGCTCCCCCAGCTCTCTTTGTTCAAGTTATGGACCTTTAATAAATATAAAATGAAGATCTCAAAGCCACTGCAATAATCAAGTCATCTCTCGACTTGTTATTTTCTTTACAAATGCCAACAATAATACATTTTTAGCATTTGTAGAGCGTTTCACAGTTTACACAACTGGAATGGTTTGGCGTTTTCAAAAAATATAGACAAGGCAGGTTTCAAGAGGTAACTACCTGATTCACTCCAACTTCTCCTTGCACAACCCCCAACATCACACCCCGGACGGAATCCGAAAAAGAATCCCTTGGCAGGAGCGGTGGGGGATAGGCTGTTAAATCACGCTTCACGCCCCAGCGTCCGCAGGGACCGATCAGGAATGATCTCTCCGAAAAATGACATGCACAGCTGGCGAGATGGAGACCGCGGCGGGGGACGCCCCTGAACTTTACCTGCCTGGACCCCACGGGTAGAGCACAGGGACTGGTACCCGCCGCGCGCACGGAGGCTCTTCCCCTGCAGGAGTAGAGAAAGCACCCGAAACTCAACGAACAGGGTGCAACGGCGCTGAAACGGGGCGGCGGGGCAAGGAAACCGCCACCAGGGCCGGAGGCCAGGGGACCGTGAGAGACAGTGAGGCTGACCCAGCTCCGCACT